CTCTCTCTCCATCCCCCCTCTCTCGCTGTCTCCCTCCATTTCAGCCACTATTGCCCTCTCAGCAATCTGATCACCCAAGCACTTTACTCCCCCCTCCTTTGTCCGTCTGTCTTTCTCTCCTTTACCCTCATGTCTCTATCCCCGACTGGCTGCTGCGGCCAGACATCAAGGTCAAATCCATCCCTCTTTTCCTCCCTCCCTCTCTTCCTCTGTCTTTCTTTTTTCTCCCTCCATTGACTCTACATTTCCTGTGCTCTGTCGCTATTCTCAAATTTCTGTCTCTGCCCGTCTAGCCAGATTTATTTTTGTTATTTCCTCTCCTTGTTTCGGTTACAAGTGTAAGTTATGGACCAAAAATAGTCTCTTTTTTTTATTATAATGTTTGTTAAACAATGTCTTCAAAAGTAAATTAAAATGATCTTCAAAGTGACAAAATTGAAGAACAATGAATTATAGGTAAAAGGTGAACCAGATAAGATAAAAACAAAAGAATAGATAAAAGAAGTCTATAAATCAAAGTCAGTTCAAAGAAAAGTTTTTAAAGATTTCCAGTGTGATGACGTTAGCATTAACAGAATACAAGTCATCTACAAAAACTGCATCCCGCCCATAATAAAAATCACTAACAACTTAGAATTATCATAAAAAATGGTGAATGGGATGATATGATCTGAAGAAGAGCAATTTTATTTTCAACAGTGTTGTTTTCTTTTAATCAGGCCTCTGGGAACATGGCAGAAAGCTCTCAAATTGCGGATTAATTGTACTTTTAGTATTTATTAGAGATGTAAGCAAATATGAATACAGTATTTGGGTACTAACAGAGAATATGCTCTGAACATATACATACAGCATCCAAATATTTCCAAAATACACTTTATTTATGTAGTACTTTGAACAATGTTACAAAGTGCTTTACAAATAGAAATAAAACCAGACAAGATAGATACAATGGGAATAAGGTCAATAAGCACAGAGGAAGTAAAGACAATGAAATAAATAAGAATAAAAACGGTTTAAATAAAGAAATATATCAACAAACATTTCCAAAAGAGATTTAAAAGATTTTTGTTCATAAATCAGTTTGGAAGTTACAGAAAAAAAGATCCTTTATAACATAAAGGGTTAGATAAAGACTTTTTCTCTATCTATAAAAATAATCCAGCAGTGTTAGGAACTGCTAGTAGCCAAAGCAGCATAGGCTACAGGCTACAAACACAGAGCTGCTTTAAGTTCAATATTCAGACATTCATTGTAGTTTATCATAAATAACTTTTTATTCCTTATTGTCAGTCAGAAAACAACTAAACACAGAGAATGAAGCAGTCTAAGCCTGGCAGGTACAAACCAAAATGAACAGATACAAATAGTAGACACATATTTTTGAGTACACAATATTGTCCATTACACACACTGTAAACAGCGCTACTGTATTCCATTAAATAGGTGCAGACATGATTTCTCAACCATCAAGTCATCTGTTATGATAAAAAAAACCCTTTTCTTTTAGTGGTAGAAATAAAAATGCCACCACAGCTGACCTCTACTCTTTATGCAATCACTCTAAATTCGGAAAATGTTCAAGTGATTGAACTGGACACGCGTAAATTGTGGAGCTATTACTAAGATCTGAGAAAGGTACAGCACGGACTAGAACAGGCAGCAATGTTCAGACTGGGGTGATATGGTCTGACAGTGATGGAAATGTTCTGTCTCTACTGTCTGGCAAGGTAACCATTGGGCTTCTGCCCCAACCTGATGTCACTCCGGTCAGGCAACTGAGTCCCGGCACCCGTGGGTCCCTCTGCCAGTGCCATTGAGTTTTTTTAATGTTATTCTGTCACTTTGTACCCCGAAGGGCCTCCCATCTGCTCAGACTGATATTCTTTGTACAGGGAAGGAGAGATAGAGGAGGAGAAGAAGGTGAAATGAGTCACAACTGGGTGTCTTGAAATGTCAAGTTGGAGACAGCAACTTTCTTTTTAATTGATGGATAAAGTTTCCTTTCCTCTCCTCTCTTCTCCTCTCCAGTCAGGACTATCAACATGGGATTTTCCAGTCAATCGGTTTTAAGGAGTTTCATGACTTCCTGACCGCTCCTGAAAGCAGCACCAAGGAGGAGAAAGACACACTACGAGACAAAGGTCAGAGAAATACTCGATCACAGTCACAAAGATTGATAAAGATTCACCCGTTGGCGGACTGGTTGACCAATCAACCAGAAGAATCTATTTAAAGATTGTTCTCTTCCTCCCCTTTCATCTGTAACAGCCTCCTTTTAAACTCTGTTCAGGTATAGAAGCTTTGAAGATTGCTACCAAACGTTACGCACGCAAACAGAATAAATGGGTCAAAAACCGCTTCCTTAAAAGTAAGTACCCTTCAACCACTTCATGCAGTATGTGTTCCTGTGTTTTTGTCCTCCACAGTCCAGTTCTATAGCAATCAGCACTCTCTTTAACAAGATGAGATTCATGCACTCCATTAGACACACAATAAGCCTCTCAGACACCGTATTGTGTTCCAGGGTACTGAGTGTAGTGTGTGTGTGTGTGT